TGGACCATTTCTTAAATACTTTCCAGTACATGGTGTACTTTCTTTGGTATATTTGGCCGTACAAATAATAAATCAAGTTTAATTTATTTCAAATTCTTGCTTTTTGCCACTTCCTAAGGTTCCTGTTGCACAAAACAGAAGTATTACCTTAAAATAACAAACAGTCACACTTAATGATGAAAACAGCAAATCCACCTCGACAACCACAGCACTCCATTTTTGAAGACAATACTTGGCTAAGTGCAGGGCTCCAAATTGCAATTGTTGCTTTCAATCAATAGACATATTGTCTATGCATTGCATAACGTGCACTACATTTAGAGATTGTCCTAATAGGAGCCTTGCCTTGGCTCCCAGGTTGAGGTGACAAAACTCCTCCAGCAGAAATCCTTGCTCGATAATAATCACAAGTACTGTAAACGGAATTTGTATTGTTCAATCACTCCTTTGAAACGGCATTGCATGATCTCCTTCAGTAATAAAAAATAATTCCGTTCTCCTGAGGAGAAAGAAATTGCTAAATCTTCACCTCTCCAATACTGTGAGGGAGAGGTGAAGGGAAACATTACTGCTGACCTCTGCTCACTGAAGTTAAAGTTATAGTGGTGAGAGTTATTGTAATGTTTGGGAGAAGAAAGAATCCAGTCATTGGAGGCTCTTTCATAAAAGCTGTTGAAGTGCAGTTGTTTGTAGGGGGCATACATTTTGTTTTGGATGTGTGTGTGCACCCTGTGTGTGGGTGTATTTGTGAACAGCAGAACATAAATAATAGAACACAAGGGTTTTTGTTATTAAAGTGGCCTTTTATTGCTTAATAGCTTTTGTTAAAGGCTTGCTTTGGATCCATTCAATATTGTTTCCTTCCATTCCTTGTTTTTTGCCCCCATTTTTAGCATGGCCAGATTTAGCTCAGTTTCATCCTCTAATCCTTCTGTTTTGTTACCGACACTGGGAGAACAGCCTGGGCTGTGTGGCTCAGCCCCGCCTGTCAAAGCATATAACATCTCTCACCAGGATCAGGTTATTGCCTGAGCTCTGTGTATCTTTATATTGCATTGCTTATGATAGTAGGCTCTGGTGTGTGTGTGTGTGTGTGTGTGTGTGTGTGTGTGAGCGTGCTTGCCCCATGCACATATGTTTGTGCGTGTATTTATTGTACATGGATGAGGTGACTCCGAATGAATGAATGGGACACACAAGAGTGGATATAACAATTGTCTTTTTTCTGACCTCAAATTTCAATATTGTCCCCTCATGTCTGTTCCGCCCTCCCTCTCCAACTACCGCCGTGTTCGCCTCTCTCTCTACGTTCGTCCATCACCACAGTGGGGCGATAGATGGGGTGGTGGAGACGGCGAACGTTAAAGTTTGTGGTCCGTGGACGGACAGCTCGGCATGAATATCAGTGGCACAGAGTAAAGCGCTGGGAATTGGATGAGCGAGAGCGAGGGAGGCGTCAGCACTTTACCTCCCATGCATTTTCACTCAGCCGGATTGAGTCTTATTATCTGACCCCGCTGCTCTCCCCTCAGTGAACTAATAATATTGTTTCAGTGATCCTGTCCAGCCTCTGACCTCATGGCTTCACACAGGAATCTGTTGGAGAGTTTCCCGAAGACGTCTGGCACTTTTTAGCCTTTACTTTTCCCTTGGCCCTGGTGTGATCATATGCACTAGCAGCAACTCGGTGATATTTATTTTTGCTGTCTGAATGTTACTGCAATTGTATTAGCATCATAATGCCATCAGTTCTATATCTGATGCTGTTAATTAGTCTGGTGAAGATTTGATCTAATAGCAGATCTTCTCACAGTCGCTCAGTAAGCCTCGTCATGTTGTACTTCACCTAGACAAATATCTGTATAAATCCTCATCAACGAGATCTCATTTGATTGGCCGACAGTGCGTGTTTGTTATTAACAGCCGAATCAAAGTTGCAATATCAGTGAATTAACATGGTTATGTAGGAGCTTGTTAGGCAGCTGAGGTAAATGGGGGAGATTTGAGAAATAATCCTTCCCCAATCTGGTCACCACAGCTGGTTGTCTCAAGCCCCTCCATCCATCCTGACAAACACACACACACACTCGCCCAGCTCTGAGCTACATGTGGCTGCCAACATGCGAACACAGAGATGGGGATTGAAAGGGAACAGCAAAGTGTGTGTTGGTGTGTTTAATTGGGTTTTTCCAAATCCGTCTTCACCCCGATACATGTCCTTGTCCATGTCAACATGCTCCAGCTTCACGCCGCCTACAGTTCAGCCAGAGCACAGCAACCTAAGAATTTCTGCTTGCAAACTTTGCCAGTGGCACAAGGTCCCTATTCAGACTTCATCACAATAGCATACTTTTGAGGGGATTAAGCATGAAGCAACAATGTATGCTGAAAGTCCTCTTATCTCTATGTGCTACTGTTATTTTTGTGATGCTATTAATTGTCCTTTCTGGTTGCTGGTGATGCATGCGCTCGCCTGTAAAATCTCCTTCTCCTGTGGTCAACTGGAAGCCAGATCGGCTGGGGGTAACAAAAAAAACATGTTGACCTTGTCTACAGATTTAGAACTAATATGGCAGCTGTACTGTGGCAGGCAACAGAAGCCGGGGCTCCAATCAGATCATCAGGTCAGATGGCTGTAGTTAATGCCGAGGCTCAGAGTGTGGATGTAATACTTTCCAGCTCAACGCACAAAGATAATTTTGCGGGCCTTTGTCGAGACCCCGTCAGTAGTCTTGAAGGTTTACTGAAGCCCCTTTTCATTAAATTAACCACTTCCTAAGAACTGTGGGCGCTGAACTGGTTAAATCCTCTTCTTATTTTTGGTGTGGATAGCATATTGGGCGTTGAATTTCTCTGCCTGTCTAAATTGTAAGCTACTGCCTCCAAGCTGTCATATCTATTTTGTAATTAAGCATTTTTTTCTTTATTTTGACAAGTGACAGAATGCGAGCTGCCACATTGCTAATGGCGATTTGGATGATTTAAGCACGCCTCCTACACCATGCACCTTCCACACAAACACTGTACACACATAGGCATACACAGGAACTATAAACACACAAAATATTGCATGCAGTCTCACTCCTACACCACTTTTCTGAATCAATCTCCTGGACATGACCCCATCTTTGCCTCTTCACATATTGTGTTGCTTTCCACCGGAGTGCTTATTGCTTTCTTGATTAATCTTCCTCCTTCCTTTCCCTGCCGCACTGGTCTGAGTCAGTAGACTTCCTGTTGGTTTTCAAAACAACTCTTCATGTCAGCCTTCCTTCCTCCCCCCCCCCCCCACCCCGCCTTCCCGTGCTCCTCCCTCGTCTTCTATTCATCACTCCACAGCCCATTTTACAGTATCTTTCTGTCTCCTTCCTCCATCCGTTTCTTTCGCTCCATTACCTTGCTCGTTCACGTCCCCTTCATCTCACCCTCTGCCTGTCCAACCTCCTGACATGAATTCTTTTTACCCTCTTACTGTACTTCCCTACTCTTTCCTGCTTTTCCCCTCCCACCATTCATCTTCAGGTCCTCTGTCCGTTTCCCTTCCCTCCCTCACCAGCTCTCTGTCAGGCCCCAGCTCTCTCCCTCCTCTTCCTTCGTCTGGCAGTGGAGCGGCTCCACTCTTGCTGACAGTGCTGTTTGTGTGAACTCAGTGCTGAGCTTCACAGCCCCCTCGCCTCCCATTGCTCCCCCCCCCGCCTCTACACCTCATCCTCCACCTCCCTCCCTCTTTTCCTCATGCCTCCCACCTACATACGCCTCCAGGCGGGGGAATTAACCTTCCAGCCCTGGGCTGCTGGGCTTAATGTCTGTCTGTGGGGCCAGCTCTGGCTACACAACCCAGCTGCTAACATCTGGGCCACACACACACACACTCACACCGCCCATACACTTACACTACACAGAGAGCTATACTGGACACTGGCAATGTGCAGCATGGACAACATACGGTTACAGTCCTTGCATGTGTGCCGTTATACTGTGTGTCATTATCATTCTTTCTTTATTGCCTGCTGCACAAATGTGGGAGAAGCACTACTACCACATACAGCGGTTGGTCTGCCATTACTGCCTGCTGACCCATGGAACAACAGATGCAGCAGTCTAAATGCGTTTGTGTTTATACAGAGCAAATCGCTTGAACATATAGTCAACACGGAGCCATGGCACAAGCGTGGACTATCAGCAGATCAAATGAAAAATACATGCATGTGAAAAATAAACATGACCTTTAAGTTGTCTTGCTAGAAGAGCTTTCAGTATGTTCCACTGAGCAAATGGCAGTATTCTCCATCCGCCATTCAGTTGGAAGTATATAATTGACAAAAAGGGTGGGAGGGAAGAAATATTCAGAAAAAAAATATCAGATATCTGACTGTTGAAAGTGAATTCTTTGGCCTGTCTCCATCTCTGCAGCAGAGCAGATCACCCCAGGAGTATTTTGTATAGGAAATACGGTTATGTGGATACCTTCTATAACATTCATTATGTATGAGCATAAATGTTACAAACTAGCAGCTGTGAAGACATCCATGTTGCATCTGTATCTTTGAGGGCTGCATTGCTCCTTCCAACCCGCCACAGTGAAATGCTAAATATTGGGATCCATGAATACTCCGCAGAGAGGCAGAATAGAAAGAAACTAAAGGCCCGTTCCTCCGCTCTTATTACTGGCTCACTGCAACTTTATTACGCTTTTATAGTTATTTATTCAATTCTGCTGAAACAAGAGGTCCAACTAATTTTTAAATGGTCATTTTGTTACTGCGTGGCCTTAAAAGTATTAAAAATGAACTGAATCCTTGGGGGAGCCATTACATTGTTATTGTTTTTTTTACTTTTAGTCTCCTGTTCAGGTGACCCCTTTGTAACCACCACCACCAACACTTCTCATATGCACGCCTTCCTTCACACTTCAGTCTCTGCTACCGCCTCTCTCCCTCTCTTCATCTGTTTGCCTCCATCTTAGACTAAGGAGTGAGAGAGGAGGGAGTCCCATTGGCATTCTTTAACATCTCCGTTGCTCACTTGTGTTCAGAGAGCCATCTGTAGATCAGGAAGACAAAAAAGACGCTCCTGAGCCTCGGCGTCACTCAACAGGTAGGAGCTGCTCTCTGTCTCTCATGCAAATCCACATACGTATTCAAAGATTCCTAGCTTTTTTTAGAAGGAGATACCACCTCTCTGTCTGCCTGCCTCACACTCTTTCTTTCTGTGCACCCTAGGCAGGCAGATGTGCTTGAGTTGGTGGAGGTTGAAAGAAGGTTTTGCCTCTCTGTCTCTCAACTTTTTCATGGGGAGAGCAGGTTTGTGAGTGTGTGTGTGTGTAGCGAAGTCAGAGTAATCCAGTAAACTTGAACAGTTCGAGCTGAAGGGAGCGGAGACAAAGCACCTAACTTGCGTTTCTACTGGACATGTCCAGCTGCTGGACGAAGCCGAGTGATTTAGTCTATTCTCAAGGATGAGGTCTATTCTGTTTAGCACATCCAGCTAGGTCTCAATCATACTGCTTAAGGAATGCCATGTTTTAAAGCAAAATCCATGATTGGATGCAATTAGATTCTGATGATAATCTAATCTGAATCTTTTAGAAACCCTCTTTATCAGCAGTTCAGTGTTAAAGCAGCAATGGTTCACAATGCAGCTTCTTTAAGCTATTGTAATTGGAGCCACAGGCAACTGGTGACATTGGTAAGAAGTTGGTATTAAGATGTAAGACCACATCTGAATTGAATGCCCGCACGGGGTTTGAAACTTCATTTTCATGCACATTGAATGATTTCATGGGGTTTCATGTTAAATTGGTCTAGGATTGAGTGTATTGAGTCGTTTGATGGTGATATGAAAGATGCCATTAAAAACTTACCTGTCGGGGTCACGCTGAATGGTTCAGCTACTTCTAATGCCCTTGCGGGGAGAGTGGCAGACCTGTGTCTGAAAGCAAAACAAATTTCAAATCAAACGTTCTAATTTGCATTTGTAAGAAGCTGGTGAAGAACAAGGTCAAAAATCTGTGGCAATGATTGTATTGCTGTAGTAAAATTTGAGTCTTTCTTATATTTGAAGACAAATTAAATTTCCATTCGGTCTGGTATTTATCTAATGTTCCATTTGAAGCAACGGATAAATGACATGTCGAAATTATTCCACAAGCGCTAAACCATCCTAGATTTTTCATACAAAGAAAAAAAACACTTATCAGCAAATTAACATTCTTGCAACTGGCTGTATTTTTTCAAGCAATTAAGGTGGAGGCTGTTTCTGAGTCCCAATGAAAATTGGGACTCGTGAGGTCAGCAGCAACCTTTCTGTGTTGGCCAAACATTTCTTTGCTGCACCTGCTGTACCTGAGCTCTAAATCCCAAAGGAAGAGTTCTGGCTGTTTTCATTGTGCTGCAGATAGTGGAAAGAAATGCTGTGCTTCTTATCAAGAAATGGATAACTTTAAAGTGAATATGAGAAGTACTGTCAACATTAGGCAGGATATAATGATTGTGTATACCTATGTGAGGCGGTAAAAGAGAAAATATAGAAGATGGCCACTGTCAACCTCAGAAAACAATTTCTATTCATTGAAGAGGGAAATAATTACCCTAGTGTGTTTTCGAAGAGTATACTGGGGGCTCCGAAATACACAAACGTTTTGAGAGCGAAAAAAATAATTGAGTGTGAGTTAATTCTTATCAAAGCCTGTTGGAGTGCAACTAATCGACTGAGGGTAGCCGCGTCGAAGAGCTGCTGCCTTCAATTCATTGTGTCTATTCAGATGAGAAAATGTTTAGTTTTCAATTAAGTAAATCATTATTATTTGTTCCACTTCTTCAGCAGATACATTTAAGTGATTACAAACTTTACAAAAAAATGATAATCCACAGAGGGCTCTTCCAGGTCAAATAAGGAAGATTATTGGATGCAATGGGGACAGAACCACAGCACGGTATACAGACCTAATTCCAAACTGTCCCTGAGCTATTCTCATAAAGAGCATGACATGATGCTGACATCATGTATCCATGGAAAATGACCTGCCAAAAACAAATACACAGAAATTTTGACATGAGGACCATGGTTTAACCTAGTTACTCAACAAGTCGTCATGCCAAAACAACAAAATATGACCCTCCGTAATGTTAAGGTATAGTTTAGGCAACAAGCAAGGATTATTCCCATTGACCATACAATACTGAAACAGCAGCATGTTTTATTTGCAGACAAATAAATCTCCTGACAAATGTTAGAGAAGGGTTAATGGTTACAAGACACCAGCATTACTGTAACTATAGGCACAGTAGGTGACACTGTAACGTCCTGTGCTGACACTAATTAGAAAAAAAGGTTGTCTAAAGCTTTTTTTAAAGTGTCCAATGCTGTGTTTCTGAAGAAGGCACTCTCTATTCACTACACATTTTATAGAATTTACATTATTGATGTATATTATATCATGTTCCAATTTCTATAATGTTGAAGGAATTTTTTTGCTTTCCATGCAGCCACTTGTTTACATTAATTTAAGTGCTGTGTAAAGATCCACTTGCAGAGATTTGAAAGGTATCTATTTGCCCTGTATCAGTTTGTACAATAGATCATATTTTCTCTGTTCTTCATCATCAGCTGATCCTGAATTATTGTGGCAGGAGAAGCCAGATGAAATGCAAAAAGAACCCACAGAGGTCTTCATAACAACTACTAATCACGTTAAAATGTACAGGTCTAATGAAGTTGTTTTCTCCTTGTGACATGGAATGACTGAAGGCTTATAATACACTGCTAGACTTACTACAAATCACTCACACAAGGCATATATCTACTATATTCATCTTGTAAGGTGTTGTTGTGTATATCTCACATATATGTATTTTTTCATGGTTGTTTCAGGATTGTCCAAGGTCAGGTGTCAGTGGGAAAATGGACTTCTTTTCAGCATGGATAGTGTCTCCTTTCACTCTACCCTTTCTATGTCTCATCTGGGGTAAGAGAATCAAATGTCACCATGGACTAACTGAGGCCTTTTCAAGTCTCATCCCGGTTCAGGCCATTCAGTTGAGCAGTGGGAACCTTGACTTTATTGAAGCCTTGAATTCATTTTCACTGTATTTATAATAGCGATTCTATGTGTATGTGTATAGGTTGCCCTCTCAATTTACAAAGGTTTACAGTGATGCATGTACTGTGGATGTAAGTCAGTTAAACTAACCAGGTTAATCTAATACTTATCTCTTAATGTTATGGAAATCTTGTCAAAGATACCACATGCAATGGGTTCACTTTGGCATTTATATATGTTTCTGCAGGGGAACCATTCTTCCTATCTCAGGTAGAAAGACACATTTTGTTAACCGACTTATTCAGGGGAACCCAGTCTCAGGGTATTAGTGTTTTATGCAAATAGCTTAATCTGAAAACTGCCTACTGTGTTGCAAAGGGTTGCTACATGTGACCATATGACTTTTCTACCAAGATTGTTGTTAAGCTGAAGGTAAATCTGTCCAATGTGAGCATGTGCATGTTATCCTTGGCATTTTTTATGGTGTGTTTAGGTCCCTTCTAATCCAACCTCCAGCATTGACTAGTTTATACAGAAAATTAACAACACCAACTGCTACTGGGTATTATGTGCACAGTATTTCCTGACTAGTTTCCATGGTGAATAGTACAAAGGCTTCCAATTCATGGGCTCAACATAACCCTAAGTGATCCGACAATATAGTGGATAACATATTCTCAATCATATACTGCTACCTTATAATGGGAGAGGACCAATTAACTGTAAATGAACATTTTCATCAACAGACACCTTTTAGATACTATTACATAGGTATGTGAGCTGCATACTGTAGCTAGAAGAAGTGGAGGCTGTGAATTGTCTGGAAAGAATTTGCTACTCTTGAAAATCTTAAAAAAATGTAATGCGAAAATGAATGTAGAAATCAGGGTGGGGAAATTGCATGCATGTGTAATTCTATACATCCACTCTTGAATAAAGAATGGAAATCAATATTTCACGGCAGACATTTTGACAGGTCATAGAAGGAAAGCACTGTTGTAATTAATAACATTAATTAATTAATGATGGCATGGTTGCATTCCATTTAGGTGCTGCAGCTCCAGCACCCTGGTGGTATTGTGAATGCTTGCTTGCTGGCAAGTTATGCAGTCAGTCGGTTTATTCCAAAAGGTCTGCTTGTAGTAATTATTATTACTATATCAGCATACTTGACCCATTGCTGTGTAATGTGTAAGGGCCAGCTGTAGTGTCAAATTCACTGCAAATTCCCCAAAATAATGAATACAACAACTTAAGCTCAAGGTTGTGGTCACAAGTAGCAGAATGCAGCATAAATCCATTGGTGATACTGAAACATTGAATTCCCCTTAATTTCGACTGACTGATGGAAAGACGTAGACATCATCATTAAACAGCCTGACTGGGGTGAAGAGTTAAGTCAGTAAAGTGACATAGTAATACCAGTTACACAGCAAGCTCAAAAGCTGGCTAGTCCTACAAGTTTTAAAATGCACTAACAGCTAAATCCAGAGTTATTTTTCATTCTGTCCATGTGAATGAACCAGAGACCAAGGTTGGGATGCAGGGTTAAATGAAACACTAGTGCACTTGCTCTATGGGCCCCATGGATACTGAAGATTGCCAGAAGATCCGGAAAAGTTTATACTTAGAAGTCAAACTTTTTTTTGCTTCATGCGCTACTGAGCAACTGTCATAGGAATGAACGGGGCCCCGCCTCTAACGCTGTATCCAGTTCTCTTTATCCTTCCATGACCTAAAAACTCTTCTTCTCTCCCTTTTAAAAAAAAAAAACCTCTTTCTTCAATTTCTCAACTATGGCAAGTAACCTAGGTCAGTGTTAAAGAGAACATGTCCCACAATATCACTTAATTTACATTTAGTGTCTCACACTTCTCAGTACTGTAAGCTAAAGCTCTAGTGGCAAAACCTCTGAATGTAATAAACTTAGCAAGGGTTCCCTCTATTGTTATTAAAATCATGTTGTGAGAGGAAGCTTGTGCTGTTTATGAATCTAAAAGTTACATAATCTCACTTTAAGACATGTGAAGTCTTATCACTACATTTTGATATGGTATTTAGTATTTCTATATCTCAGAATAATACAGTAAAACATTTTCCAGAAGCAACCGTAGACCACTGTTGAGTATTCATTTATGTAAACTGTATGCAAATGTTCTCCTGTGTTTGGTTGTTTGTATGCATCCTCTGTAATGGCCAATCTTGCCCTTCATATTTGACGTGAGGTGACTGGTTCAGCCTTGATCTGAGAGCTCTGCCTCTCACTCATGTTGTCAGACGCAACAGAGCATGCACTTCACAAACAACTTGGTCATTGCTTCAATGAAGGTCAAGATTCAAACAGCCTGGCGGAATCAGGCTGCCTTCTCTTTGGGGCATTGTTTAAATGAGAATCACGCTTAGATATTAGGCATTAATTAGAGTATGCAGTTCTGTTTGGCTCCTTGAACTGAATTTAATCATAAACCCTATTTATAATAATCCTAGCCCCAGTGTTAGAGGCTCATTGGTGGCTTGTTCTAAGGTTACCTTTCCTGACTCAAGTGCACTGCACCACTGAATGTCTCCTAAGAGCCTGGCTGAAGGATGGGTAGCCGCATCTATGACAACAGGGATTAAAGTGATAATCATTACTCTTCCCAGGAGGAATTAGCTGGTGGGACATCGACACTGAAGAAAAACACGCAGGTGAACGAGGTCCCTGAAACCCCATGCGTTTTCCCTCCGCCCAATAACCTATGTGCATGGCTGAGGGGGGATTTAATTCGCAGTAATTACTTTATTGACTCATTTTCAGGGCCGTATCACTGCAGTCTCCCATCAATAAAACATATGCCAAGATGAATAATGTGGCCAGACACAATGGGGTGCCTTCTCAGACAAAAGACCACAAGACTGCATCCCTGTGGTGTATGTTTATGATATCTTCCCTCTACTCCTTTCTAGCTCAATAACACTCCTCACACATGCTTAGCCCTTGATCTTCTCCACCTCTTTACATTAAATCCCATCACATCCCCTGCCCGCTCCTCTCCAACTACTTTCCTCCTCCTCCTTTTATGTCCCCAGGCACGCAGGCCCAGCAGGCCTTCAGGTCTGAGCCCAGGAACCTCACTGTGCGTATGGGAGCCACAGCTGTGTTGAGGTGTGAGGTGCTGCGGCCCTCAGGGACTGTGCAGTGGGTGAAAGATGGCCTCCTCCTGGGACCACAGAGAAGCCTGCCAGGCTTTCCGCGCTACAGCATGATTGGAAATCCCAAGAGAGGTAAGCAGGGATACTCACAGAATAAGGTCTATGGCCTATTGGGCTTTGATGGACCTATCCAAGCTAAATAAATGAACTTGTGTGATAAAAGCACCACTAAAAAGATGCCATAATTAGTCATCATGAATTGCTTATGTTTGAGTGTGGCTTGCAGTTTATGGGTTTAAGATCCAGTTGAGTGGAATAAGAGAAAATAGCACTGGTCAATATATAGCAAAGCTACTGTGTGGGCTAGAACATGATGTCAGATGTGGGGATGGTACTTGGATGTGTGATGTGCCAAAAAAGTAACACAATAACATGCTGTCAGTGTTAAATTGATACATATACTTCATGTTCTTGTGACATATAGTTAATATAGTTTTAATTAAGAAGTACTGCTGTCAGCACAGTAAGCAGTACAGCTTGGTAAATGAGATGATGTTGTTGCTATGGCTTCAAAGTGCTGTAATAAAGTAACACAGACATTACGGGAACCTTATGGCACATTGGCTCTCTATACAGGGAGCATCTGGGAATGAGGAGGTGATGTGATTGTCAACAGCCTCTCACGCATCGCCCTCATTGTCACTCACACGTTAAGACAAAAAAAAAAGCAACAGAGTCAGTGTCAGCAAATCTGTGAAATGTGGCAGGGAATAAAGTGTGTTGCAGAAACTGCAGCACAGTCTATAAAAAGTAATAGCCAATTAGAAGGCAATTCCGAGTAAGAGAAGAGCATCTGTTCCTGATCAGCCCGCAACTAGAAAAGCCGCACTTTACTGTTGCACAGTGTGGGAGACCGCCAGTGACACATAAACACTGCATAGATGCCCATCCACACGTTGTCCATCCTTATTGATGCCTAGAGTTTACAGAACAACAAGCACTGGAACACTTTGTTAGCTTATTAGCAAATTACAGTAAGCATTACAGCAGGTACAAGTTAAGAAAAAAATAACTTGCCTCTTTTTACCTCAATAACAACAAAATAAGAATGTATACAGATGAACACATGGACCACAAACACACATAAGCTGTCAAACACTCATCAATAAACTACCCATCTGCGCAGGTACACTTTACCAGGAAAAGAAACTGCACACTGATGTACGCAATCACTTTACTCTGCAAGAAAAGACCAACATCATTTAAGATGGCACTTGACTGCACTTGATACTCCACCAGGTTCCACTGATTGTCACCATCAGTGATGTTTAATGATGCTTAAAAAAAGCCTGAGATCACACATTCACAAAAACAAGAGAGGCCAGTGTTGATTTCAACATATACTTACAGTAGATGTAACACCCCTTAGTTTCCCCAAGTGGAAGCAATAATGTCAGTGTATATGGACATAAGCCTAAATGTAGGATGTCATGCATTTGTGCATTGTAAAGACAAACACACAGAAGAACAGATAAAACTGCTTGTTCAAGGCACCAAAGCATTACATTTTTAACTATTTATCTTCAGTGGTTGGTCCACAAGGTGTAATTTGATTATAGTACATGGTATGCAGACAGTCAATCAGGCTAAATTTGATTATTATTGAATGCTCATATTCACCCGGCAACACATGTACATATTCTTCTTACATAATGCAAACTAACTAATATCAATCATCATTTAGAAAGTGGTAAACCATAGTCACGTGAAAATTAAAGGTGCTAAATTTGAAATTCATATCAAGTGCCCTTACATGGCTCCCAACATGGCATCAGCTGAGCCGACGACTTGCAGATAATGGTTCCAACAGCACTAAGAGTGCAAACAACGCCAACAGGGCTAATAGAGCTTACAGTGTTTATCTGAGGGGGAACCAGGCGATGGCCGCTAGTCTTCCGGGAAGAATAGCTGTAACCGCCGTATGAGCGCCGTATGAGCACCGCGCAGAGACTAGCGGAGCTTGAGCCGGGGATCGAACTGCCGATCCCCTTTAGGGCCAATACACAAATGCAGATTTGCAGAGAGGAGAATACAATGTTACTCTGCTGCTGACATAATGGCTATAGAGTTTTACTGTATCCCAAAATATTGAAGGCCCTAGCTGAAATAAATACAGAGTAATGGACATACAAGCAAATCGCGTTGCAGCCATCCGCCATCTCCCCTACCATAAATCTGTACTCTCAGCAACTTGATTGCACTATTTGTGAGTGATTCCAGGAAAGAGGAATATGATTAATAACTTCAATGTCTCTCTCTCTGCACTCAATGATAACTTAGATGTGAAAATTGCTTCTGGTTGGTGTTAATTATCTTGCCAGCTTACTTGACACAAGCAATTTTAGGCCTGGGTGGTTGTCAGACCAAGATACTATTTTGCACATGTTAGTAGGCTGAAAGCCAGAGAATCAGGAGCTGTAAAACCAACACTAAACATCATCTAATCCCCACAGGTTATGGCAATGCATCAAACAAATCAAGCCCCGTTGGCACGCCAGACTATCAGAAGAGAGTTACAGAAAGAAGGACTCTGCCTGGCATCAATTAACAGACAGTTTATTCGGCCGGCATTGTGAATCTGGGATTGGATTTCATTTAACATGCTGGAAAGTCATTCTGAAACAAAATGCCTCTGCTATGAGTATAGACAACGACTTGCATGTCTATGCAAAAGCCTCCAGCAGGAGATTATCAGCAAGTGAGATGTTTCCATTTTTACAGAAATATTAAAATACTCTATTTATAATCAAATCAAACACCCAAGTGCCAGTAGTAGGGTATATTACCGTATTGAATTGGAATGTCAGACTGTCATTGTACAAATTGCTTTTATTGTTAATTTTCCCATTTCCCACATTGAAAATCACCTATAATTCAGACACTCTGAAATCAACACAGAAGAAAAGGGGCCTACAGGAGGTACTTATCGACACACATGCAATGACATGTACAAAAAGAGGAGAGAAGAGAAATACATGAGCTTTTCTTCTTTGTTATTTCTTTTTTTTACAATCATCACAACATAAAGTGTCCGATTAATCTCTTCCCTCTCTTCTCCAGGGCAGTATCATCTTGAGATTGAGAAGGCCCAACTGGAAGATGACGAACCTTATACATGTCAAGTGGGCCAGTCTGAGAGCAGTCAAGCAATCATTTCCAGTACAGCCTGGGTCAACATTCTAAGTGAGCGCAACCAGAGAGAGTGTGAATACAGGGGATGTGGGGGGTTGTAAACATGTCTTTTTTTGTCAGAGTAACCAGGGAGCATCCTCAGTACTCCAGTAACATACACAACCTCCTGACCGGTAATCACCATATAAAGAGCTGTTAAATATTCATTTATATTGATAAAAAGCTTTAATTTGCCTTCGACAAGGCATTTTAAGCAGCGCACACTTGAATTTACAAACTGTCCTTGGTACAGTAGAACCCAGCAGTTTCTGCCCAGCGCAAATCATATTTGGATGTATGAACCATGAAGAAAGTCACGATTTTTCTAACTTTTCTGATGGTATTTATTTCTTTAACAAGCACTATGCCATCCCCTCATGTTCCAGTACAGTAAGTCTACGACTTTAACCAGCAGCTACACAATATAAAGTCTCAGAACAACCTGGATTCCCTGGCAAGCCTCGAGGTGATCCATGTCTTTTCCTTGCACTGGAATAAATTATAACAGAAGTGATTGAAAAGTTCCTACGCAGACATGGGCTGGAATAGATGTAATTGTGTGACTACATTAGACCACCTGTTGTCACTCTATAACAACCGGTATCTCTCTCTCCCTATCCCTCTTGCTTGTGGGAGCAAGCCCATATGTGGCAAGGAAAAGACTCTAAAAGAACCTTTCTTCTACAGGCCCACTTCATTTGCTTACATCCCCCTCCCCATTCTGCATAATTTCTCCCTCTCTCCCTAGCTTTCCGGCTTTCTCTTTGGTGACCATGGAGAGTTTTTTTGGGGGGGGTGGAGGGTTGCCGTGGCGATTCTAGTGGCCTTACTCTTCTGAGAAGAAAGCAGGTTTCACTGACATCAATGGGAGCGATGGCGGGTGGTGTGGGATAGGAAGAGGCATAGAACGCAGACGTCTCCTTTGAATGGTTACGTTCTGTTCTGCACTGCAGCAGTCTTATGACCTACAGCAGGCCTACACCTGCAGCCACAGCAGGCTTGACTCCCACATTTATTACCTCTGAGATGCCTATTGCATGTGCGCCCACACATGGACGAAGTCAACAGATTGCCTTCGGCTTTGTTGAAAAGGTCAAAATGTGTGGGAATTATGTTCGTGTTGCATCAGGGATCACTGGTAGTCGTATTTACCATGACTGAAACCTACTGCTGCCTCGTATGGCCATAGACTGGGTGTGTGTGTGTGTGTGTGTGTGTGTGTGTGTGTGTGTGTGCGTGACATGCTCAGATCTGTATCTAGCTGGTGTCTTGGGAACACTTTCCAGCTGTTGACTCTTTAAGATGGACAGTTGCAGCTGTACTGTTGCAAACGACAAAGAGTGAAGCGACTGACTTAAAAAGCGCTCTGCAGCCTTGGTCCTAAAGGGTCATTTGTTCCACCCCACCAACTCAACTGATTTAAAATACGTGACTAATCTGGCCCCTGATAATGAGCTGATGAATTCAATCTCCTGTTAGTGCTGAACTGGGACTGGAAACTGTGCATCCTTTTGAAGAGCACCATCTCTGATGAGATCCCCGCAGACTTCTCCATCACTGAACTACAGCTCCCAAGGCCCCACACCCCTGGCCAGTCAACCATGGCCACATCCCATCAAGCTTTGCATCAAATCAAAACACTATAAACTCTTTATGAGGAGATACAGTAGGGGAGAGGGGAGGAATGTGAAAACAAAACAGAGATTGCTGATGGTATAATTGGATTCTTGGGTCAGAGGGAGTGCTATCATGACTGGCTAATTCAAGATGGATCACTACAGGCGGTGAGTAGCAGGGACCGAGACAAAAATGTCAATAAGCCCCATTCGTGAGCTTACAAAGAGATGTTTTTAAGACATTGCCATTGGCGCAACATAACTCCTGTGTGTTTTTGCCTTCCTGCGGAGCTTAGATAGGGGATTACAGCAATAGGCAGATCAAGTGGCAGTGAGTAATCCATGACAAAAACAACCTCTACCCTCTCCGCTGAACCCCCCCCCCCTCGTCTAAAACTTACCCCGCACTGTGCCCGTCACATACCTGACACATTCTGTGTCTCAGTTTATACTATTAGTGTTAGCATTTAATCCTATTAATGAACAACTCTGTGCCTCACTGCATTGCATTCCTCTGCAGATGCCTCCTGTAAATCTTCAAAACATTTATTTGATGTGTTCTGGTTTTAGACTGTGTTACTCATTCAGTTGCCATAGTTTGGTCTTACAGAGATGTGTGTGTGGGTGTGTGTGCCCATGTGTGTAAGCTTATTATCAGTGTTGGTTGGAGGTTAGAGGACATTTTAGGAACCAGGGCTATGGTGAGGTTTTTGCGGTAGCTAATGAGTTTAGCACTTGAAGAGTATATAATGAGCCTTCATTTTACGATTCCCTGTTATGAATAATGGAACAACTTATAAATGGGGCCACAAGCAACGTAGAACATGGTGACTTTATTCATCTTCGTTCACAAAAAGTTCTGACAGTTGCCCAAGATGTAACCCCATCAGAAGACGGTGTGTTATACATTGGTGTGACAGTGTGCATATTACAGTACCAGACAATTAGCAAAGGAGGCACCAAAGGAACAACTGAAATGTTCTGTCTCTCTCCTTTGTTTTTAATTCTTTTCTTTTCAATCTATCAATAAGGTATGTTTTCCATCCTTGCACACATGTGAAATAAGAGAGACAATAGTAGTGGGTCAGGGAGGAGAGTTGTGACAATGGGTGAGGGGAGATGGGGCTGCTGCTCCACTTCTACCCCAGAACAGAACAGAGCAGACGGGAAGGGGGAGACAGAGAGGAAGGGAAAGCTGAAAAAAGAGCACTGTTTCAGAGGCTTTCATTGCCAGAGATCACACACCTGAGACCTACGATGTGTGTGTGTGTTTGTGTGTGTGTTTATGCACATATGAGTATACAAATATGCCCTTGTGCATGCCAATCTTTGTCTTCCAGAGATAAAACTGATGAATTGTGCCTGTGTGATGTTGAGAAGTCGGATCTTCAGGTCTCTATTATTTTCTTAATTCAGCATAATAAGCTTTTTAGAGACTGTTTTATCCTCGGGGCCCTCTTCAATATTTTCCAGAGAATCCGCTTGGTATCACATGTTAGACTGTGCACACACTGGCGCCTGTTTTTGGGTGGAAGTGAGATGAATGTAGCTTGTCTGCGCACTCACTCGCCTGTGTCAGTGTGTTTGTGCATGCAAATCTGCATGCACTGTAGATCTGAGTTTATTGTTGGGTGTTTGTGTGCAAAGGAGGAAAGAGGGTGTGTGCATCTGTATGCGAATGAGAGAAGAAGATAGGTGGATATGCATATCGATGTGTGTCTACTAATCTGCTTCTTATCTGCCTTATCCATCCATCCGTCTGTATTTGTCTAATGAATCGAATTTTGCGGCTCACTGTTTCTCTTCTGAAAGGCAGGAGCAAGTCTTTGCGTGCCTGTCTATTATTATTATTATTATTATTGTATTGTGTTCATATATGTACCTTAAGAAGAGTGATGGGACTAGAAAGCAGAGAGAGAGAGAGAGAGAGAGAGAGAGAGAGAGAGAGAGAGAGAGA